GCATTTCCTTTGAGCATTTTACCTTCACTGCAAACTTCTCAATAGCTTACTGCCCTCTGCGATTTTACGAACGAGTTTCAAGGTTCAGACGTAAATCTGTGTTTAGACGTAAATCTACGTTTAGACGTAAATCTGCTTTTTCATATGATCATCATATTACAGATTGCGTTTACGTTTTGAGCTTTACCATAACTGCACACTGCCTTTATACTCCTACTTAAATTGCGTCTTATCTAATCAAGTGATTTACGAATCAGCATTTAGACGTAAATCAGTTTCTTCGTACGAACGTCGGATTTCAGTTTGCGCCGATATTCTGGTTTTCATCATAGCTGCAAACTGCCTGCATAGATTAACTTTAACCTTGCATAGTATCAACTTTCATACATAAGTTGTTTTTATCGTTTGAACGCAGCTTTCGATTTTAATCGCAGAAAGTTTTCCGCTGCACTAATTCACCCCCCCCCCCCCCCCCTCTTAGTGCTCTCGATCCTAACAGCCATCACTTTTGGATCCTAACTTTTTTGAAGAAATCTTAGTATTTTATTTACAAGTTCAAGGTTAGAAAAACTTTTACCAAGTGTTTTTAAACCATTGACGACATCCGTAAGACGGGTGTATATGTCTTCAATGATTTCACTTGGTTACATTTTGAAACGACTCAAAACTATGCATCAAAAGATTAATTTTAAAATCTTTAACTCTACTTGTGCTTTCATGTATGATTTTGAGTGTGTAACAAATATTATATGCAGTTTCACATATAGAAACATGATTAAATTCATTTTTGTCCATAGCACAAAACAAAGCGTTCATCGCTTTAGCATTCAAAGAAAAAGTCTTCTCCAAATCATTCCATTTGTTCATTGGTTTAGAATACTTTTAAAAACCATTTTCAAAGATATTACATAAATTGAAATTCATATATATAAAAAAAAACTCTCATTCATGTTTTTCAATACGTATAGTCCGAACATAGGAGGACAAATGATTGAGTGAACCTCTTAAATGCCAGAAAAAGCCATTTAGTTTCTCTTGGGTGTTAAACCAATTGAGAAAAACTTGGCTTTGATACCAATTGTTAGAAGCAAAAACAACACTAAGAGGGGGTGGTGAATTAGTGCTTTCGTAAACTTTCGACAATTCGAAAAATCTCATTCAATAAAGCCTGTATTGGAAAAATATTTAATTTAAAAATATTCATAGAATGTAATGAGCAACAAAATCAGTAAGCAATAAAGGTAAATAGCAAGCGAAAAGATCACACCAGATTTATAGTGGTTCGGTCGTCGTGACCTACATCCACTCTCAATTCCTCCTTCGTCGGGGCCACCGACTTCCACTAATGATCTTCTTTCAAATGTGTGAAGATTAACTATCCTTACAACTTTCTCATTTTCACATGCTTAGGAGAGAATCTCTACACTTCTCTCTTTTATAGTAAGAGCTCACTCCTCCCTTAGAAAGATCTCTAAACACTAGAAATTACAATACTTTTCATAAGTATACCCAAGTCTAACTTTTAACTTGTGAGTTTCATCAATCTCTCTAAATATTGATTTTATGCCTGACATATGATTAAAACATCCACTATCCAGAAACCAAATATCATTTGAGATATCATGAACTTATGAATGAGTTATAAACAGCTTATTATTTTCATCATTTTCCTCCATATAGCTTTCTTATTTTTCTCTTTTCCAACAATCTGCCTTCATGTGACCAAACTTTTTACAATAGTGACATTAAATTCCATTCTTGTAATTATTTTGATCATAATTTGATTGTCTTTATTTATCATGCCCATCAAAGTATCATCTTCCTCTTCCTCCTTCGTTTCCTCTACCACGAAATCCTCCTCTGCCACGTCTTCTTCCTGCTGATTTTTTGTCTTCTTTTAAAGTAGAAGACTCCCCCTTAACCTGAAATGCTTTCTCTTCACTTTTTTCAAGTGACATGTTCAACCTTGCTTCATGTGCTTGCAAGGAACCCATTAGTTCATCAAATGAAAATGTAGATAAATCTTTTGACTCATCGATTGTGGCAACAACATGATCAAATTTCGGAGTTAAATTTCTTAAAACTTTTGTAACAATTATATGATCAAAAAGATATTTACCATAAGATTTCATTTGACTAATAATTTCAGTCACTCAAGAAAGAAAATCTTACACTGATTCATTACTTTTGATGAACAAAATTTCAAACTCACGACGAAGGGTTTGAACTTTTACCATAATCACCCTTGATGAGCCTTGAAATTCATTTTGAAGTATCAACCAAGCTTGCTTTGAGGTTGTCGCTGTTGCAATTCTTGAGAAGATTGTCTCATGTACAACTTGTTGAATGAAGAACAATGCCTTTGAGTCCTTCTTTCTATTTTTCCTCAGTCTGATTTCGTAATCTGGATCCGCATATATATTCTGTATTAAGTCCCAAAGATCTTGAGACTTGAATAGAGTCTTCATCTTGATACTCCAAAATTCATAGTATTTGCCCGAGAAGATGGGAATAAGGAGTTAAGACATGGAATTGCCATTGAAAATCATAATGCCCAGTTCAGATTGAAACTAGGCTTTGATACCATAAATGTTGGGGATGGAGGAGCAAGGAAAAAATAAAATACTACGATACGAGTAAAAAAAAATCCTTTCAATTGAAGAAAACTGATGTAGTATTTAAAATAAGATGATTGACATATAACACTTACAAGATATTTTCAAGTGTATTCTCCCTTCTATCTTGCTTCATGAACTACGGTCATATTTATAGGACCTAATGGTAACTACTCATATCATTATGTCACCTTATTGAAACTACCCTATAATTTCTAGATCATGATAACTACCTAGATAATTATTAGATCATGATAACTACCTATATAACTACTATATCATGATAACTACCAAGATAACTACTATGAATCAATTCTGGACACAATGATCGAAGAAATTATTTCTCGTCACCTGTTATCATGATAACTACCTAGATAACTACTATAAATCCATTGCTCTAATATCCTAGGACTTGTTACATGAAACGCTCTTCCATGGCCACAACCTTTAGCTAGTTAATGGAGCTTAAAATGAGGAGGCCGATGGAGTCAACCTTCATTGGTCCAGATGAGGTAGCTCAATCGGCACACAGCAAACGTTAACTAGCTTAAAATGAGGACAGTGGCCGATGGAGTCAACCTTCATTGGTCCAGATGAGGTAGCTCAATCGGCACACAGCAAACGGACATCACACTTGAATCTACAAGTGGATGCGAACTCTTCTTCCTGTACCCTATTCTGATGGGAAGAAGTCATCTGGCTCGATGATAAGAGCTTTACAAACAAATGACAGAGGGCCTCCGAAGTCATCAAAAACAAATGCTGCAAGTTGCATGTTAACTTGAACCGCTACTCCCATCTCCAATGGCTTATCATGTAAAGAAAGAAAGGATAACTACATGATCTCAGGGTGCCATTTCTCGTCACCTGTTATCTGAAGCGATAAAGCAAGCAAGGTCAACGCATGCGTCTGACCAGATCAAATTCATTCCCAAGAACAGGTCAAACTTGTCATGATTTACCAGCATGATGATAAGCTTTGTCTTAGATTTTGGTTGGATTGAGTTCGAATAGTGATAAAATTCATACCCAAGAACAGGCCAAACTTGTCGAGATAAACTGTTTGTCCTCGAGATACAAACAAACGTGTCCTTAAGTGGGTTCTCTTTCAGCCTGTCGAACTTCTTTTTCGTTTCCGAATGGTACAAAATTCGAAGAACGGATGAGGTTTGATCAGTCTCGTCACGTGGAATTGATGACAAAATATGAAGATATCACTTTGTCGACCATTATTTAGTAAAGCTTCAGTCAAAAGAAAAAGGCTGCTGCTTCTGCAGATTACTAGCCTCCATCCACAAGTATTTTCCAATCAATGAATGATCTGAGTTTGATTGCTGTGGGACAGGTTGGGTCGCGCAAGGAGACTTACTGTAAGCTTTTTGTTTGGATCTCTAAAGCTGAGACATTCTTCCAAGAAATTGTGTACATATGCTGATCCAATGTGAGAATCCACTTCCCTGGAAACTGCAACAGTTGTGGTAGATTGTTGGACTAGCAAACTCGAGAAGACTTGAGAGCATGTGTTTGTTCATTTCATTTCATGCAAAGAATATGGAGACAGTTCCCTGTCAATAATGAAGTGGGGGGCAGTCATTATGGATTCCATTGGCTCAAACCAAAAGGATAAGGACTAATTTACTTTCTTTGAAGCAGGTTAACATGTCATGCTCACAAGGTAGAGTTAAATCTTTACCTCTTTGATATAGTTCAGATTGTATACGAAACGGTACCATACCGATATACCAATAAACTTCACTGAGTTCAAAACAAAAAATCCTAAAAAAATCTGAAATTATAGAATAATAATAGTTTCTCTTGATTCGTTTATGGATAATATATCAGATTAATGGTCATGCTAAATCATACATATTATATCGAGTAATACCGATTTATCTTGGTCCTGATAATTTTTTTGATCAATAAGCACTGCATTCCGGGAAATCAATCTGATTCGATGCAAGAAAGGTTGGAAGCTGATTCTGCTGATCGTTTGGTGCCGATCTCAACCATTGGATTCCAATTCTACAAAGAAGACTTCAGAAGCAAGAAGCACATGCCAAGGAATTTTGTGAAGCTGGAAATCGTCTGATACCGCATCCCTTTCTCCTTCTCCTTCTCCTTCATCAGTTCCTTCTTGCTTACTGCAGTCTCCTTCTCCTTGTCCGTGTCCACCCACTCCACGCATCACCAACTCCCAGTGACAAGCCATTGATTACTAATAACACCAACCGCACAAGCTTTACCATATCCTCTCACCCCCATTAATTACGTCTTCTTGGTCCTCTTTTGCCTAACTCCTCCAATCACTCGAAAGCTTCTTCTCCATCTGCTGGATTTTGGTTCTGTATGTTTGTGAGAGAGAGAGAGAGAGAGAGAGAGAGAGAGCTGCATGAGAACAAGACAATGAACACCAAGCTTCTAGGCTTTGCCACACAGATAATGGTGATGGCGATCCTCATCTCGGTGGTGCTGCTCTTCGTCGGCGTCGGCGTGTTGGTGCTCATCCATGTCTGCATCGTCGGCAGGGCATTCAGGAGGGGGTTCAACACCATGACGCCGCCCGCGCGCGACGACGGAAGGAGCGGCGGGTTGTCACCGGATGATCTGGCGAAGCTTCCCTGCTATGAATTCAAGGGTGGAGAGATGGTCGGCGCCACCACCGACTGTGCTGTGTGCTTGGAGAGCTTCCAGGTGGGTGACGGGTGCAGGTTGCTTCCTGCTTGCGGGCACAGCTTCCATGCGCAGTGTGTGGACTCCTGGTTGCTGAAGAGCTCCATATGTCCCATCTGTCGAACGAGCGCCGACGGCGGCAAGGGCGGTAAGCCCGGTGGCGGCGATGGGCTTGAGATGAGGGAGGGCCAAAGGGTAACAGCAGGAGTTCCCCATGCTTCCTCTTCACAATAGATTCTTGGAACTCCAACTCGATTCTCTGAGCCTGTGAAATACATCTCTGTGAATCCAATTTTTCTATTCTCCATCAGATTTTGCAGCTTGTCCTAAATCTCAAGTACAGCTTCTTTCGCATTGATTTGTGATTGGTCTTTCAAGGACAAGTTGATGAGGGTAGAATGATCTGCTCCGGGGGTCTCTTGCGGTTCTTAAGATGAGATGGAATTCTCACGATAGCATTCTTTTCTGGAGAGCAACAATGGCTACACGATTGTCCCTGTGGATTAACTCTACTTCAACTTGAGATTTGGGTTAATTTAACTCCCTGTCAAAATATTTATTATTGATCATTTATCATAAGATTTTAGTTAATTTAGTTAGTAAAACTCTTAGTAATTAAGTTCGAATTCTGAGTCTCTTTCATTTGTACTGTGAAAGATGACATGCTTGTCACCTAATGCTATGAAAGATGACATGCTTTGCATCAACATTAATATCTTTCAGTACCACTATTTTAATTGCATTCGGTGTGTGATCCGATCCTGTAGCAGCATATGTTGGATGTATTCTCTTTCATCATTGCATTGTTAATCTTATCAGTCAACCAGAGTCAACAACTCATCTACGTAAGCATCTGAGAATAGAATTTATTTTTCCTAGATATATCTAAATAGAAAATCTTGTCTTGCTGATGCTTCTGATTCTAAAACAATTCTTGTTCCTTATTTAGGATATCTAAACTGCAACGAATCTGTGCCCAGTTAGTATTCCTTGCAATCCATTATCAACAGTGGAGATTAGATTTCATGAAAGTTGGAATCAGATTAGGATTTTTAGCTTCTGCTGATTGAAGAACTTACTTTAAATATAGAAATTACAGGAGAGGAAGAAAGAAGGAAAGAAGAGAGAAGGGAGAAGAAGAAAGAAATAGGGAAGGCAGAAAAGGGCAGAAAAGAAGAAGGAAAAAGAGAAAGAAAAAGGAAAGAAGAATAAGAAGAGGAAGGAAGGAGAAAAAAACCAAAAAAAAAGGAAAAAGGAAAAGAAAAGTGCTGCAACACAAGGTCTCGATTCGTGGCTGCATGGCTTGCCGCAGCAAGCAATCCGTACGGGAAAAAAGGAGGAGAATACTCGCTGCAGATGTGAATGTGAGGCGAGAAAGAGAGTGGGAAGAAGAGATGACTGAGGAAGAGGGTGTGAGAGCGTGCCACCATCCGACGCGCAGAGAACAGAGGATTGAAACATATCAGAGAAAAATTACGAAATATTCGGTTTGATATCAGACTGAGGTTAGAAAAAATGTATTTTTCTATGAGATATAATTTTTAATTATCTTATATTCATATTAATTAGATTTTTATTTTAAATTGTAGATAATTTTTTTTATATTTTTAATTAATTAAATATTTATATCGTGAAGGAAATAAAAGAATGAAAAACAATGATGATGAAAATAAAAAGGAAATAAAAGGATATGCTTGTATCGAGGATATATGATTAGGATAAGTATCCGATGATTTTGTTTATTCTATTTTTAAAATGATTGATGCATGTGTTTAAAAATTATAAATACATATGATATACATTATTTATAAATTATTTTATTATTTAAAGACACTACAAGAAGATTTATATATGATTTGGACAACTATTTATTATGTTAAAAGTATTTATTGATTTATGTTATCTAATTTATACAAAAATATTCATTCAACATTATATTTGAAAAGGATTCAAAAATATATGATTTTTAAATAATATGCAAAAAAGATTTGTATAAACTCTAGGTTTGGTAAATGATAATTATGGTGACTATGATAACAATAGAGGTTATATGTTGGAATATATTTTAAAAATTAATTTCTTTTGGATCCTGTAGTCATCAATATTACAACAATTTTTATTCTATTATGTATATTTTAGCTATATTTATCCTTAAGCCTTAGTTATATTTGTGCTTATTTGTGAGTAGTTGATGGTAGTCTTTGCAATACAATGATTTACACATTGATACGTGACATTAGTTTTATTTTTTATTATAAAATATATATTTAAATATATTTTACATTTGAAAAGCATTATTAGTAAATCATGATTTAAAAGATATGTATGTTGTTCTCAAAAGTATTCAAGTATTTTATTTTTACAAGTGATGATCTTCAAAGGGGTATAAAGTTTAAGTTTTTGTATGAGCATGATGAAAGTCTTTAATATCCCTGCATATTTCAAAAATATATTTTGAATATATAGTAAATTTATTTTATTTTAAAAAAAATAATTATTCATGGTAAATTTTGCTAACATATCAGTTATGATGCTTATTGAGCTGTAATTTGCTTATATGATTATCTCTCAAATTTTTAGAGTTGCACAATATAAGCATGGTGGATGTTCAATTATATAATTATTCTATTGAGATTATTTTATATATATATTATTTGGATTAGAATATCCTATAGGTGGATTGATTTATGTAATTAATATCTTATGTGTGTAATTAATTATGAATTAGATTATGTATTAAATATTCTGTAAATGTTTTCTTTTTCATGATTCTTTGGCTTCTTATTCTCATAGGAAAACCTATAATATTATAATATTGAATCGTCCCTAACTTTTCTCTAGAATGAGGGCATTTCACTAATTCTTTCCAGATGAGACCGACAAGTTGACCGAAGATGAATCTGGTAAAACAGTTCATTGTCCCTCGGTCATTAAAGTTGACCGAAGATGAATCTGGTAAAACAGTTCGTTGTTCCTCACTCGGTAAAAAGGAAAACACAAGATCGCACCTGAAACTTTCTCTTTGATCGCTGCATTATCTCTCATCATAATCTTATTATTAGCAGCTAACCAATCAAATGCTTAAGACTTGATTGATGAGGACATCATAACTTCAGCACTAAACTTTGTATTATTTCATGTCAATAAAAATGTAGCGAGAATTGGACTTCAGGAATCACTGTAATCTGAATGCTGAATGAAGGTTCTAATTGTTTGGACTCTAAAATGACATCTGTAGCTACTAAACACCCCATCCTATAAAGATCTCATATCTACTAATCCTTTTATTGTGACTAGTGTTACAGGATGCAAGTAAAAAAGAACAGAAAGAATCTAATAACAGCTTCTTTTGTCTCGAATGAGAAGGTTAAGAATTAATTTGAGATCAAAAAGGTCACACTGCTTAATTCTTCTAATTTTACTTCTGCTATCTCAATCGAAGAGCAGAGTGACGTGACCAATGGAAGCCTTTTGAACTCGCTTGAAATGATACTTGCAGCTGTAGCCTTGGAAGCAATCACTCCAGCAATCCACTTTCATTATAAATCTGGTCCGGCCTCGCTTGTTGCTGTGGCCTTTTCTTTGATCGCAGCCTCTTAATAGGCACAACTCTCTCTCTCTCTCAACATGCTCACCCTCTCACACTCTCTCTCCTCCCTTTCTATCTATCTGTCCATTTATTCTCTGCTCAACTATTCTTTTTCTTTTCTTTCCACCTCTTTTTTTTCTCCTCCTCCTTTTAATCATCGAAGATAAAATAAAATATAAAAAAAACGAATGATGAAATCGAACCGGAGATCGAAAATGAGAAAATAAAAAATAATTTTAGATGTTTATCATAATAATTTAATATATTTTGTAATAATTCAAGAGATATCATCAAGATATTACTGCAAACTGCATAGTAGAGTGAGCGAGTGATAGGGAAGAAAAAAAAAACGAAATTAGATGGGTTATGAATAACAACAATATTATTTTATTATTTTTTAAGGAATTATACATAGTAAAGAGATTTTGAATAATAAGAAGGGATGGAAAATAGTAAACTTTTTTATTGAAACATATTATGAACCTAATTATAGAGCGTCTAAATTCAATTTAAATGATTGGATATATCTAAACAACAGATATAAATGTGAAATAATTAATTTGAGGAGAGGTAATTATCGTTGATATCATCGATCTGATAGCAGCCCATCAAGTAATCCCACACCTGATCGGGTCGATCTCGTCGGTGCTGTGGACCGGTTTTGCTACGAACATATTTGACTCAAAGCGTTTAAAACTCCGAATCCGGTTTAAATGGATCGGGCTGATTTCATGTATCATAAAAAGAAAACCCGACATGCTCTCGCATCACACGCATCATCATCCACTGATCCGATAGCTCATTGGTTGATCCCAGACCGTCCCGGTTCGATCTTGTCGACCCGCTGGGCCGGCTCCCGAACCCGGTCGGTCCACGGCGTACGTCTTCGGTATCCCTCTCACGGAAAAGAGAGAAACCCCGACATAATAAAATCGCACGCTGGCTCGGATCCAATCCCCCATTTCTCCTCTCGGTCTCCGTTCCGCTTCGGATCGAGATTCCCTCGCCCAGATCTCGATCTTTGCCCTCGCTTCTTCCCCTATCGGAGATCTAGCTTCTCTTGCGCGTTCCGGAGCTGAAGGTCGAGCCCTAGAGGACCTCGCCGCGGCCTTAGCCATGAACCCTTTCTCGTCGGGGACGCGGTTGAGGTAAGTTGCATACCTTTCTCGCCGGATGCGTAGATCAAACCACAATTCTTGCGTCGGTGCCCTTCTTCTTGTATCTGCTTCGTCCCGACCCAATCTTTTCGTCCTCAATGAGACGCCCTTTGCCTGGATCAGCTTGGTTTCGTTCTTTTAGCACGAAGAGTCGGGTAGGGCTCCCAGTCGATCGGATTCGCCTTTGGTGCGGATCTTTGGTGAAAAGGAGTATTGACCTACGTCGTAATAAGTTGGTGATTTTTTCTACTTTTGACGTCCTTGATTGTGACCCTTAAATTGGATCATATGCACCCTTCAATTACACAAAGGGTTGTCAGTCCAGGATCGCCATTATTGTATTTGAATGGGTGATTCTGTGGGAGAGAATCGTACAAAACTAGGTGAGGCGTGATTGCAATGCCATAAATTTGTGCATCTATGTTACAGAATTCAAGAACATGCATTTTTTCATTCTAATTATTACCATAGTCTTGGGTTCTGCCATGCGGGTGGAGTTAAAAAGCTTAAATATAGAATGGTTTGTGGTACAAAATGAATATATACGTTAAACATTTGATGCCATTGTCTTTACTTGGTGCTAGATTAAAAATCACCTGTAAGTATGTTGGAGTCTTATAATTCGCCACATTGTCAAATTGATATCTGGAATACAAATGAATATTATGTAACACAGCTTTACTAAGCATTACTTGATTTTGCAAACTTCAACTATAAGACTAATTCCCAATTCGGAGTCCAATGCAATGTCAAGCATAGGGTATAGACTGGTCCATTTTAGTGTTTTGACATGACTATGCCATGGATTTCTTCAAAGTCACAAAGGAGTAAATCTTCAGATTTCCTCTGAATTTGGTCAAATTTAACGTTTCTTACTAACCTTTAATTTCAGGGATATGATTAGGGCTATCCGTGCCTGCAAAACTGCTGCAGAAGAACGTGCTGTCGTGAGAAAAGAATGTGCAGCAATCCGTTCTGCAATCAGTGAAAACGATCAAGATTATAGGCATCGTAACATTGCAAAACTCATGTTTATTCACATGCTTGGTTATCCTACTCATTTTGGTCAAATGGAATGTCTCAAACTGATAGCTGCTTCTGGATTTCCTGAGAAACGAATTGGCTATCTGGGCCTTATGCTTCTTCTTGATGAAAGACAGGAAGTTCTTATGCTGGTTACAAATTCCTTGAAACAGTATGCATTGACTTCATCTGTCTATTATTCTGTAAACATTACTTTGTTTTCTGGACTAATATTCTGGTCAAATAGAGATTCTTATTCTTATTTTGGATATCTTTTACATATGCAGAGATCTCAATCACTCAAATCAGTATATTGTGGGTCTAGCACTTTGCGCTTTAGGAAATATATGTTCTGCAGAAATGGCAAGGGATTTAGCACCAGAAGTAGAAAGATTACTCCTAACTAGAGATCCAAACATAAAAAAGAAGGTACTTTTTTGTTGTTTGAAGAATTCCTCATTTCAGAGCTTCTTGATGTGACACTATCTCATTGCAAGAACCAATTTTCATAACCTTGATGTTTCCTGGAGGTAGTGTTTGGAAGTGTAATCTGCCTTTTGGTTTATTCTTCTTTGTTTTCAAGTATGACAACCTTTACCACAGCAAAGGATGCTGCTCAAATCTTTTGTGTTTGGCTGTTTGCATGTACTCTGGTGCATATATGAATTCCTTTTAAGATGTATGGAAAGCGTGCTAACTTCTAGGTGAATGTCCTAAAGAGACCCTTGAGTCCTGTGCTTCTTGCTTACATTTCGTTGTTAGATATAACAAGAGAAAACTATCAATAAATATTTTGCAAAAGTCCATGTCTGTTGAAGCACTATCAACTTTTGTGCTAAATATCCTTTTCTCTTATATCTTATATTCGATATTATAATTAATATTGAAATTCTTGAGCTTTGACTAGTTTGTTATTGCAGGTCTAGTAGTTAATATTGAAATTCTTGAGCTTTGATTATTCTTCTTCTCCTTCTCCTCCTCATTCTCCTCCGCCGTCTACTTTTCTCCCCCTCCTTTGCATTGCCTTTTCTCCTCTTTCCCTCCTCTCCCACCCTCCTTCTGTGCCACCACCTCTCCTCCTCCTCCGCCACCTCCTTCCATCCTCTCCTTCTTGCAACACCACCTCTCCATCTCCTCCTTCCCTCCTCCTTCACTGCCTCCTTTTCTAATTTTCAATTTCCGGTAAATTGATACTGGTCGGTACATATTGGGCCGCTAGGCATCGATACAGTAACATGGTATGAAATTGCAATCATTGTTTAAGTCAACTTAAGATTTCCACTTTAAAATCCATGCACTTACGAAAGCATTGATTCGGGAATCTTGTTCATATTAAAACCAAATTTTCTCACTTGTATCCTATTCTCTATCAGATTTGTATCCCAAAGGGAGGACTATTGTTGTATTTAGCTGAATCAGTAGTTCCTAATTATGATCTAAAAGATCTTTGAGAATATGCCCAATCTCCCTTTCCCATTGCCTTTGTTCTTCTTACAAGATGACACTAGATTATCTTCTTTGTGTGTGAGCCATGTTGTATATGAGATGAACATCATGTACCTCTTCTCTTTTTTCCTTTATTCTAGTCCATCTTTGTGTCTTTATTTTGTTCTATAGTATTTTAAAGCCACCAGCATTTTATTCTTTTATTTGTGTTGTCTACATAATTTCTGCTGATCAGTCTCTGAAATAGAATTGATTTTTATGCTTTATTTCCATCATATGACTTAAATGTAAAACATACAGCAACTAATTAGTGGGTATTATATATATATCATCAATTGGAGCTGCAATCCGTAGGTTGTGTTTCGGTTACAATATTAATGTTTTCTGAATATTTACATTTTAATGATCCAATCTGCATGAAACTTATTATTGCTGAAATTTTAGCAATCCCTGATTCCTTTTTCCTGCCCCCTTTTATCCCTGATCATCTTTTTACAGTCCAAAATGAAGCTCCAAGCTATCTAAATACAAGTGTGTTCTGTCTGGCAGGTCAACTTAACAGGACATCTAGATTTGAATTTGAAGTTGGACTTAGATTGAGAATAAATGTGCATGTGGATCCCGAGGAGTACCTCAAACTAACAATAAGCTGATGCTGAAATTGAACAAAAACCAAAATAGAATTTGATCGGATTGTTATTATCTTTTGTTGTGTTTAGATGGACATTTCAACTATGTAGGCTATGACACTTGTATCTCAAAGAGAAAAGAAGCTGAAATTTTGATTGGAGATTAAAGTCAAATAAAATTTAATTGAAATTGAATGGATCTTGAAGAGCTAAGATGAACATCTAAAAAGGGTGAGTTGGTGCATGTGACTCACACCAACATGGGGTTTTGGAAGGGTTAATGTATGCAGCTGTATCCCTGCAAGCATAGGTGGTGTTTCTTCTATTATTCATGCCCTGATCACTTAGGTCACAAAGGTACTACCTTATCATGTTTCCAAGTCTAACCCTTTGAATATGAACATCTGTTACACACTTTTTTTTTCTTTTAATTCTATGAGATCCTGGGAGACTGTATGTGATCTGTGAAAACAGGGGGTAAATCAACCTTTTCCTCCATCATACACGTTCAAAAAGAAAAGAAAGGTTTTCTAGTTTTTGTATACTGCATCAATTTTATTTTGTGGTTTAGCTTTATCTGCACTATTTTGCTGTTAATTGGAAGACTTCATTTCTTCTTATTGTAAGTTTCTTAAGGTTCATTTAGATAGAAACAGTCTCAACTGTTTTTTCCTAGAGTTGGATGTCATTTGTATGTGTTTAGAGATTCCATGTATAGTTTAAATAGATGCAATAGCCTTTGTGTATTTTTATTTATATTTTAAAAGTATCGTGCAATCTTGCTGAACTGAATCTGATTTCTGGTTCTAGGCTGCCTTATGCTCTATCAGGATTATAAGAAAAGTTCCAGACTTGGCAGAAAACTTTTTGAGTCCTGCAGCTTCTTTGTTGAAGGAAAAGCACCATGGAGTTTTAATAGCTGGAGTTCAGCTTTGTACAGATCTATGTAAAGTCAGTGTGGATGCCAGCAACTATTTGAGGAAGGTACCCTGGTCATGGACATACATTAATTGTAGATTTTAGCTGTGCCAATGATATAGATGTGTTTGTATCTGATCCTTTGCTCAAGTTCTTATAATGCAATTTTCAATTTTCTTTTAGTCGATCATTTTAAGTATCTAGCATATTGAAATTTGTAAAGCTATTAGCAGTCATTAAGGATATACTTGATAATGTAGTTAGGTTCTTCCTTGTTTAATTGGTTTGATACATTGTTTTAAGATTCACAGTGTATTGCCGTGAAATGCCAGCACAACACATACCTCAGCGAGGGCCCATTGGCATGGGCTTTTTGCCAAGTTAACAATGAATTGATGTATCATATCATTAGCATGAATGGGCTTGCTAACAAGAACTTCCACTTATATTCATAGTTAGTGCTTGTATAGAAATAAATATGGGCAAAATTTTATACTTGTCATCTAAGTTCTGCACTCTAGAACACATAATTTTTTGGATCTAAGAAACATAATGTAGATACTATGAGACTTGCAAATGTAATATTTTCTGATGTCTAGCTATCTTAAGGTTTTTGGATGCCCGACGTAGATCCTCTTTATGCAAATTTCATCTTTCTATTAAGCTTGGATTTGACTTGGATGTCCTACCTAGCAACCAGATCCCCATGTTCAAATGATTGCATATTAAGCACAGACTATAACATTCAGAATAATTAGATTAAAAGTAGAAATGATCATATCATAAGCACAAACTCCTAATCTACTAAATGCCTAAGTGTATGATTTCTAGGCATTATTCGTACATAAAATATATGACTCGTAAGATTTTGTAATTTAATTCAAGCTCAACACTTGTAGCCTTTACCAACAGCTCTAGGCAAAAGCTAACCTGCCTATGTTTCTTCATGATCTCCCCTCAAAATAAGAATAAGTACAGCTTTCACCTCTTGTTTTTCAGTAATTTTTAGGGGTACCAGGTTGTAAGAAGTTATGATAAACAGTTGGCGATAAGGTTTATTCATCAATGTCCACCTTATTGACATGGATATCCTACATTTTATCATTCTGTTCTGTTATCCATTAATTTTACTTTTGTTTAAAACTAAGAAAAAAAATATTTAAAGACATCCAACAGTTTATTTGCATAAAGTAAATGGTCAACTTAGGTTTCTGGAACCTAAATTGATAAACAATACTAGATTCTGAAAATATGAGTTGGGAAAAGATTATCTTATAATTGGTTTTCTGTTCTCAAGTTTCTTATTTATGATAGCATACCACATTTCAACAATATTTGTCCTTCAGAGTTTCTATATATGGTGTGAAAACTTAAATGTCTTCATTTTGAAAATATTGTGTAATGGAACCTCTTTTTATCTGCTTCAGCTGAATTTTATTGTTTTTTTTCCAAAATTTACATTATGCTATATACTTCTTTTGGTTGATGCTTTTGCTGGATTCAGCTTGCTTGCAACTGTTAGGCTTATAGTTAAATACAGTTCATACTGTAAATTAGTTTCCATCTTAATTATAGAACTGCACAGAGGGATTGGTTCGAATATTGAGGGATATCTCAAACAGTCCATATGCACCTGAGTATGACATTGCTGGGATTACAGATCCTTTCTTACACATTCGACTGCTTAGGCTGATGCGAATGTTAGGTCAAGGAGATTCGGATACCAGTGAATATATAAATGACATCCTTGCTCAGGTAAGTTTCCCTCTTTATTCTCAACATGTTCTGAATTTTGAAGATCCTTGCTTCTATGTGGTTCCTGAGATGTGTATTATAATTGTATGCATACAAGGCCTTGTATAATGAAACCTGCTAGGAATATAAATCCAGACATATATGCTTATCCAAATATGTTATATCTAGGTGCATATCCAAAGTTTATGTGTGATCTGAGATAGATCTGTACATACAGTGGCATATTTGCACGTACATATTCTTGTATATAAATATGATGGGTTTTCCACAAGTTACTTCTGTATGATAATGAGAAAAGTCTTGGGAAACAATTTTCAGATTGAAAATGAGCTTTAGTTCTTGTTCTTCTTATTTGCAATAGTTCTTAGGTAATTTCTTAATATTCAAAATATGTTATGGAGAACTAATGGAAAAGACGTATGTTTTCCAAGTTGCAACATTCAAGATCTTTCGCTTGCCCTGTCATCCTTTTCATGTTTCCCTTTCAGATCAAATTTGGTTAAGTAAAATTGAGTGGAATGGGCAGTTGAAGCTTTAAACAAGGACCCCGGTCGTGGTTTCATGATTTTATTTGTTTATGATCAGAAACTAAAACTTAAAGCAATTCTGAGTTTGATGTAGTTTACAAAATCTGAATGGCATAGGAAGTGACTTGAAATTCTACAAATTTAACATATCAAATCTAGTCACCTAAAATTATGCATTTAACCAAAGATTGACATTTTGGCACTAGAAAAAATGTTGGTATTTGTGTAGGCATGTGGTAAGCATCAATGTTTTGAAAAACGTTAGGCACTAAAAAGCACCAAGGTGCCAAAACGCTTGAGGCGAGTACAGTGAGGCATTCTCAAATGTTAAAACATTATATATATATATATATATATATATATATATATATATATATATATATATATCAGTGATTTAAAAAGCGCTAGGCGCTAAAATGCGCCAAGGTTCTAAAATGCCCGAGGCGTTAGTTGCTCGCCTAGGTGCTTGCTCGAGCAAAGCAAGACCCTAAAATATAAAAAATATATTATATAATTAATAAATATAATTATTTAAATAAAAATATGATATTAAATTAAGAAAGCCTTAAGTATAAAGTCACAATATCACACTAACAAAAGTCTTAAAATTCAAAACAATAAATAAAGTTAGTAGTATTAAAATCGAAATAATATATTATTAGTCTAATAAATAAAAGTTACTGTTTATAGTATACTATTAGTGTTAACAGTATACTGAGTCGAGTGTGAGAAGAGAAGAGATCGAGGCTGCTGATTGAGAGCAGCGGCAGCGGTGAGCAGCGGCAGTGGCAGCAGCGAGTAGTGATAGTGGTTGCGGTAGCGACAGCGGCAACGACGAGCAGCGACAGCAGCAACAAAGAGGCAAAGCGGAGAGCAGCAACGGCGGAGAGTAGCGACAGTGATAGCGGTAGTGGAGAGAGGCAACGACAACAAAAAGAAAATGTCGGTGGTAGGAGTCGGGCTAGGGTTGGGGAAGTCACGAGAGGCAACGGAGAGATGTTGATATCGGTGCTTTAGTTTGTTCGATTGAACCAACTAACGCAAATGCGATCGAATCAAACCTAACATGCTGGTTCGATCGTCTGATTTAACCCGGGCGCTCGCCCGAAGCGCCTGATGTCTGGGCTTGGGCAAGCGCCTAGGCGGTGCCTTGTCTTGCCCGAGCACCTAGGCGAGCGCCAAGCGCCTTTTGAAATCACTGATAGGGTAGGAGATTGATAGGGTCTGAGGTGGAGAGAGGAGGAATTGGGTAGGAGGAGATTGATAGGGTCTGAGGTGGCTTGGTGGCTATTGATTAGGTGGGGAGCTATTAGGGAGGAGGAAGGAGGAGGAGGGGCGATGGTGGAGGAGAAAGAGGGAGGTGACAACGAGAGGAAAGGAGAGCGGGAAGAAGCAAAGAGAAGTTGAAGAGGGAGGAGGAATTAGGTAGGAGGAGAACAAGGGGTTGGAGGAGGAGGGAGAGGGGAAGCTCGATGACTATTGGTTGTGAGGAGAGCTGCTATGGAGGAGGAGGAGGAAGAGGAGGGAGGCAACAATGAGGAGGGAGGGGACAACAAGAGGGAAGGCGAGGGGCGAGTAGCAAAGAGAAGAAGAGGAAGGAGGAATCAAGTAGTAGGGAGGGGGGGTTGTCGGGGTCGGAGGAGGCTCAACGAGGAGGGCAATGACGATAGTGGAGGAGGGGAAAGAGAAAGAGGGAGAGTGTCATGGCAAGGAGAAAAAGAGAGTTACTATGAGAAGAAGACATTATCGGAGGGTCGTTGTGTGTAAGGAAGCTACTTATCAATCGGCAAAGGATTGCTTTTGCCACAAGAGGAAGTTATTCACCATTGTTGCAGACGACAGTGTAAGTCGGAGGAAGCTTGTGGTCTAGTAGTATAGGATGGAGGAGGTGCATGGTCCAACAATGTAGGGAGGAAGAGGTAGGCGCTTTGGTGGCATAGGGCAGACGAAGCAGCGAATGATAGCTAGGGTTTCGTTGGCTTCCTTTCACTAGGTCGGGTGCATGGGGCTACGATTTTTTTTTGTTGGGGAGAGAGAGAGAGAGAGAGAGAGAGAGAGAGAGAAGTTGTGAGTTCGTTTGGTTGAGCCAATTGAGTGCCCAATATTGAACTTGTTTGGTTTGGGTGCACGCCCGAGTCGCCTAGCGCTTTGGCTCAGGCACACAACCGAGTGGCGCATCCTTCAAACGCCTCACCTAGACCTGTTACGAGGCGCCCAAGTCTCGCCTCGCCCGAGTGCCTAGGCAAGGCTTCAAGCACCTTTTGAAAACACTGGTAAGCATGCAATATTGTGTAGAAATTAATGCACGATGGATGTGATCTCCTTTCCTCGATGAAATCTTGTTCCTTGTCTAGGTTGTTTCCTCATGGAGTCCTAAATGATTGTCGCTCTCCAAATGTTGTTCTTTCTGCTTTTCCTTTCTTTTGTAGAATTTAAATTGCTTTTCACATGTGGCATGTTATTAAGTATCAATTTCCGGAGTTTTTCTTGTAATCTAGATGATCGAAAGTCATGGTATCTTGGTAATAAAATGAAAGGCTTGCACAAAAAAAAAAAAACAAAGATTTTTTAGTTTGGAATGGTGATGTGAAATTGTGAATAAGCTAAGTCATTTCTGATGTTGAACAATATTCATCAACCATCCTTCAATTTCTCATGTTCATTGATTGTAGTTGTCTAAAGTGGTCGAGTTATGTTCTTTTGATTAATCCATGATCCATGACTGAAAGTGGTTACTTGTTCTATGAAGAATTATGAATTATCAAAATCATAGCTGATTATTACCTGTTATATTTGATGTGTATTAAGTCTTGAAGTTCTTATATGTGCTGCATTTTTGTTTTATAGGTTGCTTCAAAAACCGAATCAAACAAAAACGCTGGCAATGCTATTCTATATGAATGTGTTGAAACTATAATGGGTATAGAAGCTACTAGTGGTCTGCGTGTGCTTGCAATCAATATCCTGGGTAGATTTTTGTCGAATCGTGACAACAACATCAGGTCAATTTTTATTTCAGTATATCATTATATTATCTTTTAGTAATATTCTATCAAATTTGAGTATTATTAGATGTGACAGTTTCTTAGCTTTAATTATTTATTCATTAAAGTTTTCATGTACACTAACCGGGTGTTCTTGAAAAGAATGAAATACATCTTTCCTCCATTTATTCACATGCTAATCTTGAAGCCTTGTATTGAGATAAACATGGCTTGTGCTTAAAATTAGATGTATTGTATTGGTTTACGTGGTTCCTTAAATTTGCTTGTACCCTCATTCAAAAGGGTGAATCCTACTCACCAGAGGTACATGTGGATTAAGGCATGATTTGAGAGGTTTTAAAGATTTTTAGTTTGGCTTGCGGCTAATATACATTGCTGTGAGTTACCCAACTTCTAGCAACTGGGAAGGTGCAGTTTATGAGTGTGGTGATTGTTTAAACTTTGTAATTAGGGAAGGTGATCCTTTACTCAGGTGTCATTAATTTCCAACTCAAATCGATAATATTGTATACTAAATGAACATTACATGAGATGTGCATTTTTGATAACCAGTCTGGTTTTATACTAGGAAGACCAAATTATTGAAGCTTTTATTGAAAGTACTTGATTAAATTTTGACTAAGAAAAAGCTTATGATTGAGTTCTTAGAGATATATTGTGGCAAGTTTGGAAAGAATAGGAGTTGCCAACTCTATCATATTTTTTAGTTCCAAAAGCATCTACCTTGCATTCTGGAGCATGACTGTCTGTCCAACTTGGCCATGCTATTGCGTTTGATATTAGGCACTAGAATCGGGGTGCCATGCCAACTGGTGATCTGTACGGGGCATGTGGCTATAAGGAAGACCAAGATTTTGTCTTTCCTTTTGTCTCCTTTACTAATATAGTTTTTGAACGCCACTATAGACTGTTGTGTTGATATCTTTTTCTTTTGTTTTTGGTTCAGATATGTTGCCCTGAACATGCTTATGAAAGCTGTTGCAGTAGATTCTCAGGCAGTGCAGAGGCACAGAACAACAATTCTTGAATGTGTCAAGGTACTGTTATGTTAAATATATGTTTTATGAAGTGAAATGTACCTTTTCCAAATTAGATTGTTGAGGTGGTGTTTAGGGTTGATGCTTCCCTGTAAGGACTGCATCATAAAACAATTTGAATGTTTTCTGTGTTTTGCTAATCCTTATCCAGCAACAATAGTAAACGTTATTTGTGTGCTTCTAGTTTGTTATTTTCATCATCAAAATTTCACAACTCACTTCTAGTACATTCAAAGGAGTAATTCCCCCCACTGTGAACAAGACATTTTATAATTTGTTTCTTCAGTTCCATGTTCTCACAAGGAGATTAGTTATATTGACTGCCTATTTGGATTATTGATTTAGTGCTGTATTTCTTCCTGAAGTAAAAAAAGCTCTTAAACAATTTGGTCATTTGTGATTTATATGTATGATATGGCTTTCGGTTGAGTGTATTAACTATGTTTTCTTATCATGCTTCCATTTTGTTCTCTATAGGTTTTGTTGCTAATCAGGCGCTTAAGTTTGCAGTCATCATTATCTTCCATCTTTATTTATGTCTTGAAAGCAACTTGCATATTACATTTGGTCTTTTCTGTTCACTGTGGATGGAACTAATGCTCTTTGATAATGCTTATCCATCTTTATTTATCTCTTGTTGCATCAACTTTCAGGATTCTGATGCCTCAATTAGAAAGAGAGCTCTTGAACTTGTTTTTCTGTTAGTCAATGACACAAACGCTAAGCCGTTGACAAAAGAGCTTATCGACTATCTAGAAGTGAGTGATCAAGATTTCAAGGGAGATCTGACTGCTAAAATTTGCTTGATTGTTGAAAAGTAAGTGAATTATTGACTTAGATTTTGACCATACAAATGAAAATAACATCTAAATTTACATGCATCAGTTCAAATGCAATTGTGAATTCTTTTTTATTATGGGCAAACTTTGACTTGGTTTCAAGTTTTCACTTTGAGCTTCAGATGAGACTTGAGAAGAGTATTAGTTGAGCATGATGAAATACTTCAGCTATAGTAATTGCACCACTTATCATTTTGGAGCTGTTGATGTTGGTCCATCTTGAAATATTTCAGCCATAGAATTTGTTGGCCTAGTTATGCCCTTTGAGTTTCTTTTGTATTCATTAGAAATTCAGTAGTTTTTTTTTCACTGGTTACAAAATTGTCTTCATTTTGCTGTTTTTTATCAATTTAATTTGGTCACTTGTTCACCAAAATAAGATCTTTTTAATGTTGTCTCCAATTCTACAGTATTTTCATCCATAAGCATGCTTTTTCCATGTCTTACTTTGACTAATGCATATTTCTTAGTGTGCCTGTGTCATAAATGAACTGTTCAATTTGAAGTTATAATGTTTGCAGATCTTTTTAACCAAGTTATGATTAGGTTTGTAGGATATTATTATGGCAAAATTTCTTTCAAAAGTCTTGCATCTTTGGTGACCAGGCATCAAATACATTAATAGCTTATGAAGTATATCATGTCTTAAGTCCTAATGACAACTAATGTTTCTTACTTCTGTAGGTTTTCTCAAGAAAAGAAATGGTATATTGATCAGATGTTCAAGGTTTTATCTCTGGTATGTGATGAATAGTAGTTCATTGAATTGTTTTGTTTTATATAAAGGTGCAAAAGTTTGACTATTATTCGTTGATTGATTTTTGCCGGATTGTTTCTATTAAATCGTCATTCTTAATGTTACACAGTTCATCGCACGCTGAGATTCCAGCATCATTATTCCAGAATTGCAAGATGTCTTTCGCTTTTCTTTGTGATTATACATTGCGCTTGCTGTCATGATCCCATCTGATAGGCCCATTTGTCCAATAAATTGGCGGAATGAGTTCATAATCATATGGGGCAGCATGCTTAAACCCTAGTTACCAGCTGTTACATCTTCTCTTCAGAACATCATAATCTCCCCCTTACTTTCAGTTTGGGACCAATCGAGATCTCAGAATCTTCCCAACTCAAATGATCAACATGCTTGTCAAGGAGCCTGGAGTCGTTGCTTAATAAGCAGCAAATGAGACCTATGATCCAATAAATGTTTCCATGTTTAACATGTGCCTCTTGCATTATCCGTAGTAGCTCTTGAAAAACTCATGTTAGTTGGTCCACTCTGTTACCAGCTGCTGCGACTCAAGCCAATATGCTCACTGGCCCAATAACTCGGTGGTGAGCCAATAGCCACTTGGCCTAGAATGCTTGACCACAAACTGTTAATTTACTCTTTGATTATCATCAGTAGAACCCCTTGACTGTCAATTGAGGACTCATTGAGGTATCACCCTTGCACCATATCTAAATTGTACATGTTGATTAAACTGTTTTTAGGTAAATCTTTATCATCTTTTCTCTCTTTTTCTTCTTCCAAGTTGCAACGTGATATATCATTACCCAATTTCATGATGTGGTGAAAATTGTTGGTTTATATATATTAATAGATTTTTCATCAACCGGTTAACTTAATCATAGATTTGGTCATGATGCACTGTGAAGGTTTCGTTTTTAACCTTGGTGTCATGGGTCTGAAATGTAAAGACTATCTTTGTACTGTGGGGGAATTCTGCATGTATCTATCTTTCCACGGTCCCTCAGTGACGAGAACATAGATTACCATTTGTTTTACTTCCAAATTCTATACAAAATTTCTTAGGATATGTGAAAGTTCAGAAATGTGTAACATGTCTCTGATCTGTCTGCTGTATTGACCTAAACATGTCTCATGATTCGCATATTATCTAAATTCAGGTGCTCTTAATCAAGAACCTTATTCTGAAAACCACCTTGTCCATCATAACTGATTGCATTTGACTTGTTTCATTGTAGAAAAAGGGTAAACTAGTGCACGATGCTACTATCAAATTTATAAATTTAATGCTTTGATCTTGCACTATTGTAGTGATATTAATCCTATCCATAGTCTGAACATGCTGTATCAGTAAGTGTAACTTTGCAAGTTTGGTTTGCCTTGTGAACTACCGCTCCATCTAATTTAAGCTTGGCTTGCTTGCTGTTGACAATAAGAGTTTCAGTGTTGCTTGGTAAATTCTATTTATTCGATTAAGTATGCTTCTTGGTTCCCATGATAAGGCCTTGCTAATGTTTTTATGCCAAACTTATAACCTAAGTTGATGGGTTATTATAACCTAAGTTGATGGGTTAGGGATGGGGAAGTCGCGAGAGGGATGCTGGGAGGCTGATATCGGTGCTTTAGTTGGTTTGATTGAACCAACTAAAGCATCGGAGACCGAACCAGATGTAAAACACTGGTTCGGTCGCTTGGTTTAACCCGGGCGCTCGCCCGAAGTGCCTGACGCCTGGGCTTGGGCGAGCGCCCAGGCAGCGCCTCTTTGAAGCGAGGCGCTCAGGCCTTGCCTCGCCTCACCCGAGCTCCTAGGCGAGCACCTATTGAAATCACTGGGGTATGGAATCACTGTTATTGAACTCTGGCAGCAGGATGTCCCTTGCTCGCTAGCCCTAAGAGGCTTTGTAAGGAGAGCTACTATTTACATGTTTCAATAGCATCACTCTGTAATCGCATGAGGTACAAACTAAGATGCTTGTGCTTGCTCTGCAAGCATGATTAAAGCCCTAAATCACTATGCTTCTTAAGGTGATATTGGTGTCCTATACTTCACATCTTGCCTATAGGAAAAGAAAAATAGTCAGGTAATAGCTGTATGTTTGAAAAGCTCATGAGTTTTCAATGTCAAGCAAGGTTTAAGGTCTAATGGTAAAATGCCAATCATGGGTTAGTGTTGTGTTAGCCATGGGCAGGGAAGAGATCTATCATTCAGGTCCAATATTGTTGGGGTGGGGTTACTGGCCCCTTGCCAATATTTAGGAGGGGAATTGACGTGTGCTGCTGTCAGGTCATGCATGCAATTTCTGGTACATTATGTCTTATACGACAACGATCTAGCCTTCTTGGTACTGAAATTAGTACCCGTCTTAACTATGCTTGTATTTTTATAGCATAATTTACTTCCTTATACCTGTAATTTTGCTTGGAAGCAATACCTACCCACCAAAATAGACTACCCTTTTGGAATCAGTTCTTGTTTACTATGGATTGGAGTTGATCACATCAGAGACAAGACTCTGACAAGTGGCTGCATTTCAATTATATATATATATACATATATATATATATATACATATATATATATATAATTTCTTTGACAATGCTTAACTTTATAAAGTTTAAACATAATCTGATGGATTTCCTTCTTGCATTTTGTTGGATAATTTCAATTGTTATAGTTATTTGCCAACTGCTACTATAGGCCTTTTTTTGTCTAATAGATGTTTAATTTCTTTCTCTACCACCTAAGAATTTATTTCTTTTAACCTTTTTATTTTTCTTAATCACAATGCATCTTCTTTAATGTTGTCAATGTTGTGATGCTTAGGGAGGGAATTTTGTGAAAGATGATGCGTGGCATGCTCTTATAGTTGCAATAAGTAATGCACCTGATCTTCAAGGATATTCTGTGAGGTCACTGTACAAGGCATTCCAAACATCATCTGAACAGGTAAAGACTACTATGTCGATGTTGAGGCTTTATAACATTTGGGTTTGTCTTTTATTTTTTATAGTTGTCATGAATTTGTTTTCAGGTAAGTTTAGTACGAGTAACAGTATGGTGCATAGGAGAATATGGCGAGATGCTGGTTAATAATGTTGGGGTGTTGGAAGTTGAGGAACCAATGACCGTAAGTGCACAATTTTTCCTTTCCCTTTTTGTTTACTAACAACCATGATGTTTCTCCTGTTACTTAGCTTGTAATTTATCAAGTTGTTGATTTATTATCTTCCATTATTCTAAGACATGGTTGGTGTTATTGACACTCCTATTCGAGCCAAGCAAACTTAGAGATGCATTTCTGAACTTCCACAATTTTTTCTTTCACTTGTGCTTGTATATTTTTGTTTTCATTTCATCTGTTAGGTAATTGAGGATTTTTTATGTGCTGCTTTTCTCAATGTTCTAGCTGTCCCATCATTATTTGACTTTCTAACTTAAAGAGTCATTACACAAATTTTAAGCTAGTAGTCTATCAGGTTTCTTGTTGGGAAATGGTCTAATGTTGTCTGATAAGTAGAACTGTGTATTTGCATTTAGTTTCTAATATTTGCCCAAATATGACTAGCATTTCTTTGTGTCAGCCTTTTCATGGATAGCCAACATAATGAAGTGTCTGATAAATTTTGGTTCGTAGTTTCTACATTCAAAATCAAGGATGCAATTGATTTGAAGTTTAGATGCTCGTTAGCACTTTGCGCATATTCTAGCCACAGACTTATGCGAATAGGTATTGCCAATTTAGAATGCAGCATAGTGAATGGGCCTACAGTTCCTCCTGACATATATATACTATTCTTTTACTGTCATCATGTTCCTTGGTATCTTTAATCTTCTATAGACTCTGCAGATTCTTCTGTTTGGTAATATCCACCCTTGCCTTGTTGATCAAACACCCAAGAAAATGAATTTACTTTTTAGTTTCATTACTATATTGCCTTCTTTCTAATCCTTGTGTAGGCACCAACTGCTTGATATATTATTGCAGGTGACAGAATCTGATGCTGTGGATGTTTTGGAGGCCTGTTTAACACGTTATTCATCAGATATTGCAACCCGATCAATGTCCTTGATTGCTCTCCTGAAGCTTTCATCGCGATTTCCACCAACCTCAGAGTATGTTCTTCATTTGGTATATTTTCATTTGCCACATTCAGAAGCTTGAGTTCTTTTATGTGCATTACAAGTCAGAATATATGTTGTGGTCTGGTAGATTTAACAGCTTCATTACAGAATTGGTCACCTGCATCTTTTTTTCTTTTTTTTAGATGGTCTTTACAACCTTCTTATTTCTAGAAATTTCCAAACTAATCATTTGAATTCTGTGGATCCTATTTACATATATGTAGCTTTGTGTTAAGTATATACGTATTATAACTCTCTTATGAGTTTAACATTGCATCAATCAGTTCATCAGGTTATGGATTTTTTTTTCCCCTACTCTTTTTCTTTTTCTGGTTGTTCAGAATGAAATCATGTTCATCCTGTAACTTATTTGTGAAAATGCATATAATCCACTAAATTACATATGCATTTAGAAACATTTGTTTTCGGGTAACAAATTCCCAATTTTTGGTTGTTTGGTTTACAAAAGCACACTTGAAAGTCCTTGGTGGACTTCTTATATTATCCAGCCTGTTCTGGGTGGTCAAATGTATTCCCATATATCTTTGTCAACTAAAAAAGATTAAACAACTCTTTTGTAGACTTCAATGTTTGTGAATTGTTTTATTCTTTGATTTTCATTTTTGTAAATTAAGGGTCTTTTTATTTGATGTTAGGGATCATCACTTTCTTTTGGAAAAAATATATTTTATACCAATGGTTTGCTATTTTGGATATCAGATCGTACTGGCCCATGGATGGACCAGTATGGGACTGATATGTGCCAACTGCACCAACACACGATATGTCGACATGGCTTTGGTATGCTTTTTTAGGGTTTTGGCCATCTGAAACCCTAAAAATCTCATATTTTATGGGTTTTCCTACTTAATAAGGTGAAGTTCACATAATTTACGTGGTTTAAGATTGTAAAAACGATATATATGAATTGAAACGTGCAACAGAAAGTGAAGAGTCATCTAAGCAATTATGCATAACAAATGATTGTATAAGAACATATATCTGTTTGTCGTTATTCTATAGTCGGTGGGTCGGAATCCTCAATGTGATGATACTGTAGATCAATATGATACATATGCAAAAACCCAAGTTTGAAACTACCGCCGTGAGATCTAATAGTGAAATAGTTTGGTGATTTTGGGAGCAATTTCGAATAATACCGCCCGGTACGTACCGGTCCGTCAGCTTACCGGTACACGGACCGCTCGTTACCGGACGGAACGATATATATATATATATATACGAGGCAACGTCGCGTCACCTCGGCGACGTCGCCCTGAGTGGGAGAAGGAAAAGGCGACGTCGCCGAGGCGATGCGATGTCGCCTTTTGTAAAAAAAAAAGAAAAAAAAAAATAATATATATATATATACCGAATGGTATACCGCTCGGTATACAGTTTCGTACCGTACCGAACAAACGTCGAAACTCCGGTACGGTACGAAATTGCATACCTTGTTTGGGAGTTCATTTTTTCAAGTCCAAACTAACAGAATCTTTAAGGAATTCTGTATTATTTTTTAAGCTCATTTTCTTAGTCC